ATTCAATCAGCACAACCGAAATGTGCTCAATCGAAATCACAAATGTAAGTGATCACATCCTGGATTACATATTCAACTACTTTCTTACCTGAGTGATGATCGTCAATATTATCGCATATCGTCGCTGAAAACATCGCCGAAGCTGCCCCACTTCCATATGAAAACAACAGAATGCGTTCATGGCGAATCGATTCTAACGATGAAGATCTATAATCAGTATCATCATGCGACACCATCAATCAAAACCACAACAAAGTTTCATCGCAATTGCAAAAACTCCCATCATAAAAATGGTAATCTTCGAACAATACCACCTTTGAATGACATAAATTCCATAAGTAATAGGATAATAAATACGATAAAACAGCATTCGAATTGATCATAAAACCAAAATATTTGCGAATTCGCAATTTACAAAACAATTTCACAAATCCAAACGAACCTATGGAATAATGCAAGCAGTTGAGCAAAAACTGACGGTGTGTACATATTACCAACTCTTTTATTGAACAATAAATATGGATCCACTTTCTGCAACCACAATTGCTCAGACGCTTTCAATGTTGCGGTCATAAAGTCACGATTCTTGTAGGTTTCTTCCAATTTCATTGAACTGAAACAAATACCCTCTCATAGCGAACGACTGACCAAGTTCTATTTCGACTTCATTACAAAAAAGAAACTCAACGATAAAACACGTTTTATGAAAAGAAACGTCAAAAAAATTTTATATTTAGCCACTCAACGAGTTACACAACGAGTTTACCCTTCACAACAGTGCTTATGACATCTAGTCAAAAACTAAAAATTTCACAAATATCACATCACAATATGACAGAAAATATCACAAATATGACAGAAGAAATCTAACCGGAACGGTTTCAGCTGTTCACTGTTCAGCAGATGATCATTTGCACCATTCAAGTAATCCAAATAACAAAGTCTCGCGAATGCTTTTTGAACGTTTCGACAGAACGGTGAGTGGAACATTACGGCTTTGAATGAGTTCACGTTCACCTCTTCAACAACATTCTATTCATCACTCCCCAAATCAACTTATACGAAATGTCTATTGTCATAAACGCTAATGCAAAAACAACAAATAACTTTTCTACGACTAACAAATATTCACCGATAACTGAAGTTTACTTTTTATGTCATTACTGCCAAAATCAATTAATTCATTTCCTGATGCAAAACACAATTTCAAGTTTTTTACTCAAAATACCTCTTTACCAAAACCAGTATTCATAAAGCTATTTGCAACCGACAAGACTTTTCTTAGTTAGATGAAAAATAACACTACCAAATTTGGTCTTCGACCACAATTTTGTAGTTGAATTCAGAAGGCCTAATTTGAATAAACTCCTATCACAAACACCAAATATACATCACCTTCCTAACAAGCACTAAGCTTGAAACACGATACTAACTTCTTTAACGAACCGCAATTTTGTTGCAGGCGCATCGCTTTCTGGCGATACGCACGATATGCAGAATCCAATGACTTCATATATGATGTCAAACTGATTGGGCCGTTCACCACCGGAAATTCTTTCGAGCCGCCTCCGATTGGCTTATAAAAATCCCATACATTCGTCATGTGTGTTGCCCGTAAGCCTCGGTCGAACGAGATCAGAGCGTCGGGTCCAATTAGTGCAGCGAATGCTCCAACACCTCAAAATCACTACGCTCATTTTTCACTAGCCATTTTGCATGTCGCAGCATATGGATTGTAATTTTTACAGTAGTTTTCCACGATCCGTGACCAAACTTTCCAAAGCAATTACGCATAGGAGATCGTGAAAATCACACCGTTGCACCGAACCAGACTGGAGTGAATATTTCCTTTGAAAATGGTACAAATGAAAGCAAAAATCAGAAAAGATTCTTCTTAAACCATACCTCCAGTACACCTGGCCGCACCTGGCTCATAGATGGCAATATCACCCATAACAACAACTGCATAACGTCCTGGAAACAGTACAATTTTAACACCATAATTCAACCGTATTGGAAACGCACCCAATTCTAAAGCAATATAATTGCATGTATACTTCGCTGAAGAAATTTTCATTCATACCAATCTTATGAAAGTGATTCAGGTACAAGAAAGTGCCCTATCACGTTTCAGATTCAATTTCTTGAGGTTGCATCAACCATTAATAGAAGACTGTCTCAAGAATGGATGAAACTCCAAGAGATTTGCATGAACAAACCAACTGACTTTCAGTTTGCCAATTTGCGTAAACCCAATCGACGGCATGAAATAACGCTTGTGTCCCACCGAAGCAAGCATTCTTCACATCAACCCCTTCAACATCTGTATTATCACCAAATAAATCCATCAGTTGCGTCTTCACACTCTTACTCTTATCTATCAATGTTTCAGTTCCCACTGCACAGAAGCCAATCGAATGCGGATCTATCTGCAGTAAACAGAACAGATTAATGCAAACAAAAGAAGGATGTTTTATACGTAAAATTCCTCACCTCTCCATATTCATATTAACTGTCAACAAACTAAGGTATACTTTCATATAGCAAGCATAATAATAATTTCATAATGACGCCATATTTCATTCACCCACAATCTCATACAGAGATATAAGTGAATCCACAAACTAAGATATACTTTAAGATATACTAAGATAAAACTAAGATATACTTTAGTTTAGTATAACGATCATAATAATAATTCCACAATGACACTATATTTCATTCACCCATAATAGTGTGTTATAAATGAAACCATAAACTGGTGACATGCATACCTCATATCGCTCAAGTAGCATTGTCAAAACGGTCATGCATATCGATGCAATATCTTCATGATCACCACAAAACGCCATCTGTTGTTGACCAAGTCCAATCGTATACTTGCCTTCACTCACTTTATCGAACTGAAGCATTTTGATAACGTATTTGAAACGAGATTTTGATAACGTGTTTATGAAATAGGCTTACGATTCTGGCTAATATCCCCTCTCTGAGCGGTATTCTAATCCAATTCTCAAACTCAGATAACACAACAACAACAACAATAAATAGCTCAATTCAAATAACGATTTACTTCTTCAAGTTCCCGTTGTTCCACATACGTTCTCGGGAAGTACAATTCCATTGCTCGAATGCCAACATTCTTCGGCTCACAGTTTGCTGGCGATGTTGGATTGGTTGAGTTCATCACGTTTTTGTGTCTCCGTCAATCGAATTCTCGAAAACCAAAAAAAAAACTACAGCCGTTATAAGCTGAGCATGAAATATAAGCGAACACGGTCACAATGTCGATGTTGCATACACGTCAAACAGATTAAACTCAACCTTAAACCACTTAAAAAGGCACAAATTCAAATGAAACTTCGAGATGAAGTTCGCTCCAACGACACTACCTAACTAATACAATCAACTGATTTTAAGCGATAATGCTTTGGGAATCATTCAACAAGAAAAACGAACGCAATTCGTTCAGAATGTAAATCGAAAACAATTCGTCGGATATTCCTCAAAAACAAAATCCAAAACAAACTCTAATGATGAACAATATTATAGCAAATGGATATAACCCAATGGACAATCAGTCATAAGCGAGTAGCCATGCCAATGCGACGTGTTGCCAACTAAGAAATGAGCAAAAGAACGAGCGTTGAGAAAACGTTCGAATATTCATAATAAAATAAACAGTAATAATGTAAATAATAATTATAATATAAATAATGTGGATAATAACAATAATACAAATAACAACAATAATATGAACAATAATAATTAAATGAACAATAATAATATAAATAATAATGATATAAATAATAATAATATGAATAATAATACAAATAATATGAATAACAATAAAAAGAGGTATAATAATATAAATAATACTATGAATAGTAATAATACGAATAGCAATAATGTTAACAATAATAAATGATAATAATAAATATAATAATAAATAATAGTATTATTAATAATGATAACACTGATAATAATAAGTAGTAATAGTAATAAATAATAATAATTAATAATATTAA